ATTGATCTTTTGACACACAATTATCAATCATTCATGAGTTTTTGGCAACAATTGTCCTATAACTTATAAATGGACACAAGTTGCTAAATGTACCACACACTGTAGCCATTTTATCTAAAAGGCTAACCCCCTCAGTATCCTCACATACATATGGTGGCATGATAGAAATGGACACTGTACCTTACAAGATCTGATACTTTTGACGTAGATTTCCCATCAACATTTCCACATTGATTCTCAGATTAGCTCTCTTCCTGGTTTCCTCCATTATTTTTAACAAGAATTTAAAAATCTAACAGTGGAAAGAAATCACAGCCACATAATAACATTTTAGCAGGTAGCAGTAACAATTCTATCCCACCATTATGGCACCCTATACTCACAATGCCCCTAATGTGACATCATCTTCAAAAGACTGATTACAGTCTCCACCAATCAGAAATCCAGAAAATAAATGAATCTCACTGTTGATGAAAATTTGCAATATTATTCAGCATAATCTGTTATTTAAAAGCTATTCTTTGCATTCATTTTACACAATAAAAAGAAGTTAAAACAAAAGGATCATGCTAATTACAGGTAAAAAAAAAAAGCATCATAAAAAATGTTTCAAGAAGGTTTTTAAGAAGAGCCATATAAACAATTATTTTATTCCAACTGTATGATTAGAATTTCATATTTGAATTGAATTACTATCTATTGATATCTATTGATATATCAAATTTATCTTCAAACTTCTTTTTGGAAAATTCCCACAGCATTGTAAATGTACAGAGTTTTAATGCATAAGGCCTTAGGTGATGCAAAGCAGCAAAATTCTTTATCCTGCAGTGGACACTCCTCTTTTATGGTTAAAGAATCAAGTGTCTCTGTGTGACCGTTTCAAGAGAAGCAGGAAAAAGTCCAAAAGAGAAGTGATGCCTCCCAAAGTGCATCAAGAAACAGGACATACATGCCCATTCAGGCTGGTCTCTCTTTTTGAAGGTGGCAACAGATGGTAAAAATATTCTCCAGGGTTTGATTTAAAGAAACAATTTAAGACTTAATAACAAAAAAATACCATACAGCTCTAATAATTAACACAGATTATAACTGAAAAAAGAAATTAGTCCGAACAGATGTTAGATATGGATATTTCATCAGAAATTAACAACAATCTTTCATATTATCTCAGGCATGTCTAATACTCCTTATAAAATACAACAAGAGGATGTTGGCTCATTAAGAAGTTCCTCCACCAGTTCACTGATTTGTTTTTCATGATTTTTCTGCAGTTCTTCTTTTTCTTTCTCTGTTTTCTTCTCCTGTNGCGACAGAAGTGGAGCTTGTCCCGAAAAAAGAAAATTGCTGCTGATATTAGTTAAGGGACAGATCCTGAGTTTGAATTGCATGCGTGTGGACCCACAATCAGTCATTTGCATAAATGTGACCTCTATAAATGTGGGTGCCATATTGATTGGTAGCCATTTCATTTACATTTTAAACCAGTTGCACAGTTCAACAAAATAGTGTGTAATAGCATGATAAATCAAAGTAAAAACAAGAAAAAGCTTTACAGAGACAAACTCACTAAAAAAGGCAGACAACAGTTTTTGGTAAAGCTTGTGTCTGTTAAAAACATAGATCCAGGAGTTAACATCAAAGGCTGTTACGCCCCGAAGGTCTAGGGGTTGTGGGAAGGTAACATAAAAATGTGTCCAGATAATATAAGTGGGATGTAAAATTATTTAATACAAAAGATGGTTTCACAGAACCAAAACACAATACAACCTAACCCAATTGAAACAAAAGAACAGGGGTAACAAACTCAAGAATGGTTAAGTTTAAATTAAATTACAAAATGTCCAAACCAATCAGTCTAAGTTTAACTCAAAACAATCCAAAAGAAAAGACAGAGGGAGCACCAAACCTCCCAAACACAAGCTTCTAGCTTTTACAAAGTCCCCCTAAAGCAAATTCAGAAAAAAATACACAGAACAAGCAAGAGCAAAGAGTTCTAACTGCCCAAAACAGTTTTAAACACCAAAGGTTGGTGAACAGCTTAGCAAACCTTTTCCTACTAGCTGTCCCCCAAACTGAAAGCTTTCCAGGAGCCTTTTTTTATGGTGCAGGTGGGCCACATCAACATCTGGTTGGCTTGACAATCTGCTGTTCCAATCATGTCCCTGCTCCTCTGCAGCCTTCAGGCAGCCAGCAAGGAAGGTGTTCTGTCAGAGCTGAAACTGCATAAGAAAACAGGCCTGCACAGTCTTAAAAGGCCAGGGGCCATAACAACAACCAACCAGTTTCATAACCATAAATCACTGGTGACTCAAGGTCTGTCTACAAATGATTGGATACAAAATTTATGTTAATTTCAACCAGAACGTTGCACAAACACTTTTATCACTGCAACAGTTTGATGGCAGCAAAATATGGCTTTCAAACTTGACCTCACAGCTTTTTAAAGTTATATTCTATCTATCTATCTATCTATCTATCTATCTATCTATCTATCTATCTATCTATCTATCTATCTATCTATCTATCTATCTATCTATC